GAACTGAAAATAATACATAAGTATCGGAAACAAAAATATAGCAAAGAAATTACCAATACCTGTAAACAATCACCTGCAAAAGATGTCTCATATAGTATGCCAATTTGTGCTCCTTCCAGACAATAAATCACCTGCTCCAAACAATTACAAAGGTAAATATTAAAGAGAGAAACAATAATGAAAATAGCACAGACAATTAAGCAAGCAACCAAAATAATCAGATTTACTCATTTGATCAACCATTCCATTGTCAAATATTGTGACCGCCTCATTTATAAATTGGTTAAGCAGTTGGGATTATTATTACTTGTTTTGGTTACTTGCCATGAAGTAAATTGAATTACTTTCCTGGTTAAATTAATAAGAAAAGGCCTTCTATCTAGGTTTCAAACGTCGAACATGGACTCTTAAGCACCACATTCAACTCAAAAGTGTTAGATCAATTACCACAGTGCATTATGCCATCAATTTACTCAATTGCATTGATGAACATAGCACCAATTCATTTGTAACTAGCAAAAAGATAAGGACTTGGCATTGATTTTTTTTATGTAAACCTATTACTGTTAGAAATTCACATGTTTCTCCTCTGTTTAAATAATAGTTACAACTCAAATACACATATATATATATTTATAAAATTACATCAACATATCTAACTAATGCTCCTTTATTTTCCAAAACTATCCACATTATATCTATCTAACAGCTCATAATGCTATATAGGAAACCTATCATATACTTTATCTAAACCAATAATCACCATATAAAGGCCCTACAAATTCAAAAACTTTTGTATCTCATGAGAATTTGTCAACAACTTTACTGCATATTTTTTCTTTTCCGGCATTTTCTCACAAACAAAACAAAGGCAAAAACTATAAATATCATCTGAAACATGTACAACATAAAAACTCTAATCTTAATTTTCATTCTAAGGGATTAAAAACAGAGCTAAAGAATAAAACTCAATTTTTTCAATTTTAGTTTCTGACAATATCTGAGTAGATAAACAGAGGCAAAATGGAGAAATATAATCAGACAAATAAAAACATACTGAATTTTCAGGCTTAAGAAGCAACAAAAAAAATCGAAATGAAAAAATAAAATTGAATTTCATTCATCGAATAATAGAAATCATAAAATTTGAATATTGCAAGGGTCATCCGTCGATCCAAACCCTAGGAGCAGATTCAAATTGTAAAATGACAAGAGACAAAGGAAAATAGAAACAGAGAGAACTTCCGAGAGAGAGTACCTTGAACTCGATCGAAACCCTAGGTGCAGATTCAAATCAGAAAACAAGAAGAAGAAGAGAAAGAAACTTGAGAGAGAGAGTGCGTACCTTCAATGATCGAATTCAAAAGAATCAGGAAAAGCTGATTGTGTTTTTAGAATATAAGAAACAGAGAGAGCACAAGATTGAGAAGAACATCAATGAGAGAGAGAAGAGATTGAGGGACACAGAACGAGTGAGATCGAAAGAAGAGAGAGTGATTCATACCAATGTGTGAGACTGAGAGAGAGACTGAAAGAGAGCTCGCGCGAGAAAGAGAACGATCATTGTGAAGAGTTAGGGCAAATATAAGGAAAAGGGAAAAATAAATAGAAGAAAATAAGGAATATGTTAGTTATTTGCGACTGATAATCGGGGGGTCGCAAGTTATATGGTAGCAAAAAGTCATCTTTCTAGTAGTGTGTTAAAGCGGTTGATTGTACATTGAGGGATATTTGTGATGTAAAAAGACATTTTGGGGTATTACTGTTGTTCTTGGTGGAGATATTCGACAAATCTTACTAGTTTTACCCAAAGGAGTTCGTGAGAAAATTGTGAATGAATCATTAAGACACTCTGTTCTATGGAAGCATATATATATCTTAACTTGGATTTGAATATGTGCTTGAATCATGAAGGCCATAAAAATGCTAATTTTGTAAATTTTTTGATAGAAGTAACACTACTTTAACATTTTTCCTTATTATATAAATTATTTTAAATTAATAAATTGTGTTTATGCTCTTACTTTTTTATTGATTTCACTTTTTTTAGATTGGGACCAATCCTCAAGAAATCGTTAACCTTCCATCAACAATACACAAATGTCAAGATTTGAATGAATTACTCTTTACAGTTTACCCGCAATTGAATATGATAGAGACGTCAACCCCAGCACTTTTAACTGAACGCACAATTCTGTATGTACGTAACGATGATGTCAGTGACATTAATACTACTACGTTGAATATCTTTCTAAGGAGATTATATACTTATCTTGCAGTAGATAAAATGTTTGAAGATAATGAAATTGATCCTACCATTTCAAATAGATATCCTAATGAATATTTAAAATCATTGGATCCTCCTAGGCTGCCAACTTTTAAGTTAGAATTGCAAGTGGGTTGTCCTATAATATTGTTGAGAAACATCGCACCGAAAGATGGATTATGTAATGGTACAAGATTGATGGTTACTAGGTGCGACACTTGCACAATTGAAGCTCAAATTTTAACTGAAGAAAAGTTTGGCAATTTGGCATTCATACCAAGGATATCTTTGACACCATCTTCTTTACAAATGCCTTTCCAAATGACAAGACGTCAATTTCCAGTCCGATTGGCATATGCCTTGACCATTAATAAATCTCAAGGACAATCTGTGAAATTTATTGGGGTTGATTTGCGTATACTAGTATTTAGCCTTAGGCAATTATATGTGGCATTGTCCAGATGTACATCCTTTGATCGTATAAGTATTCTCTTTCCTAAAGATAGTTTGAATTCTACTACAAATATTGTTTATCCTGAAGTGTTGTTGTAGTATTCTATGTAGATTAAATCACATTTTATCAAAAGGTAACCATGTAAATTTATTTCTATTGATTATGTAATTTTTTATAAAATTTCAATTTAATAATAATTTGAAAAATGGACTTTTGTAGGATTAGATCGAAAAATCTATAGAGCTTAAAAAAAGAAATACGACTAGCTTGCTTCAATGGGGATGTAATAAGGTAATTTCAATCTCAAAGTATTTTGATATGTATATTTCCAACAAATATATTAATCTATATTTTTTTTGTTTCCACAAATTACCAGATTGTTATACATGTTCCTCATTGGGGATACATACTAGTAATGAGGAGGAAATTTGGACAAACACATGTTATTGACACATCTTTTGTAAAGCATACATATTTTGGAAGGCTTTAACCCACTTTTTGTAAAGCTTTAACCCACTCTTTTGGTGTATGACAATATAATGTTTGTTTTTCTTATGTAGTTATAATTTGATTAGCAGCAGTAACACTAACTGGTATGCATTTCAATTTTAATTTCTTTTAGATTACAGAGCACTGGCTGGTATGTATTATTTGATATTTAATTTTTTTTCATATTTGATTTGTTTGGAATTGTAGAGTAGAGGCTTTATGTATTGTTTGATATTTAATTTTCAATTTATTTGTTGAGATTGTAGAGCACTTACTAATGTGCTTTATTATATAGATTTAGTAATTTTTTTTCTTTTTATTATAAAACGTTAACAAGTATATAATAACTTTAATTTTTATTTTTTATTCAGTGTTTACACTTTTTTTTACTGCCTCTTATATTTTGATTTGTAATATTGGTGAACATTATAAATGTTATATGTTTGTTTCTTAATTTGTATTAAGATTAGGAGGAGTTGTTAGTTTATTTGAGTTTTGTAAAGCATTTAATACAAGCAAAATTGTTACAAGTTTTTTAAAAAGAAAAATATTTCAATATATTTTTTCAATATCTTTATCAAAAAATGACATAAATTTTATAAATTTCAACATAATATGTATAAATTATAACTGCATTTTAATCTTAAAATTATTTATATCGTGCCTTTAAGCACGAGCATACGCTAATATATATATATATATATAAATATATTAATCAAATATTTTATTTTTAAAATTTACTTAAAAAGTAAAATATTTATGAATAAATACAAAAACAAAATAAAAATATACTGAATTTTTTGTTTTTATCTATTTAAAAGTTCGACCAAAACAAAACAAAAAAAACTAGGGGGATGCACCAATAAATCCCAAATTAATAACTTATGCACTGTTTAGTCCTAAAAGTTTTCTTATAGACTGAAAGGTCCCATTACAATGTTAATAACATCAGATACAATGTTAATAACATCAGAGTCATGTTACAAACATTGGATTTCAAACATCTAATGTTCATCAAATTTCAATAATATTTGAAAATATAGGATGAAAAACATCTAATATTCATCAGATTTCAATAAATTTTGAAATTATAGAATGAAACATCAGATCATTTACATCATTCACATCATGTTGATGTAAAAATGGGACTAAATGGAGCATAAGAAAACTTTTAGGACTAAATGGTTCAACGTTTCAAAAACTAGGACTTATGGGTAAATTTTCCAAAAAACTATATTTAAAGAACCAGAGTTATAGAAGTAAACTAAAAACACTTTTCTGAATAAAAATAAAAGATTAATTTTGCGTCTGCCGGGAGTCGAACCCGGGTCTATTGCTTGGAAGGCAATTATCCTAACCGTTGGACTACAGACGCTGTCTTTTGAAGATGATAACTATAAAAATCTTTATACAAAACAAGACCACTCAAAAGTCCCTCCACATGCTCTCTATCTAGGCTCTCTCTCTCTCTCTCTCTCTCTTCTAGTATTCAGCAAAAACATCGAGAAGAGTTGCAGTGTGTAGATGAGGCGGCTCATGGCAACTTTATTATAGGGGAATGGGGATGGGGAATTAATATCCACCCCATTGCCCCCCATTGCCATTCCTAATTATCCTAACCGTTGGACTACAGACGCTGTCTTTTGAAGATGATAACTATAAAAATCTTTATACAAAACAAGACCACTCAAAAGTCCCTCCACATGCTCTCTATCTAGGCTCTCTCTCTCTCTCTCTCTCTCTTCTCTAGTATTCAGCAAAAACATCGAGAAGAGTTGCAGTGTGTAGATGAGGCGGCTCATGGCAACTCATCATCATCCACTTCTCACGAAGAAGCTTCCTCCTCCGCCGACTACTCTCAATTCCTGGCCGCCTCTATTCTTTCCATCACTACGCCTCGTTTCTCCGATGTCCTCTCATCGCCGCTGTCTTTCAACCACTACGGTTCTTGTTTCATCCTCTAATCGCGACGATAATGGAACTGTAAATCAGGACTCCAAGAAGGTGTTGCTCAAGGGAATGAGATATGCTGAACTTGAAGTATGTATATCTCTCTCTTATGTTCTTTTTTTTTCTTTCTTTTGCAATTTCAGCTGCAAACAATGGATTTCGTAGCTATGCCATTGATGCTGCTTACTTTCATTTCTGTTCATATGATGTGTATATGTAAATCTCTTGAATGTTTTGTGATAGGGCTTCTTTGATTGGTAGGTATGGTTTTTAATTTTACTGGAATTGGATTAGGAATTTAGGATATGATTGAGTTTTATGTAAAGAAGGGCAACCCTTTTGCTAACTTTGTCACGTAATCATATTAGTTGTGAAAGTAATGTTGGATGTTTTGTGAATGTGAGGATAATTATACGAAACAATTGTGTCATTTGAGCATTTCTACTATTTTTCCAACATTTTAGGTGCTAACTCAATTAAGAAAGTTAAACTATTATTATGTTTTTAGATACTCATTTTCATACTGTTGCAGCTAAATTTTAGGTAACAGATCATCCAATTCCAATTAAAATAGAGCAATGCTGGTTATGACAACTCATGGGCTGAAACCGACTTACATGGTCGGCCATGATTGGTGCACACAACATTGGGGGCCAATTGTGACCGATTATGTAAGTCAGCTTGGGCATATATTCTGTATTTCGACTTGCACATCATTTGTTTAAATATTACTTTTGCACCACTCGAGGGTAGTGACCTGGTGGTAGGGGCTTACTCCCTTGTGGTTTGGTGACCAAGAGGGCATGGGTTCAAGTGTGTGGTTCAAGAGTCTTGCCTATTAATCCCCTATGGCTCAAGCCAATCTTGAGGAAACCTATGGATCCCCTACCTTGCCAGACTGGTCTAGACCCCTCATGTCCAGCTCCTGTGGTCATGGCCAAGGAGGGCGCAAAAATATATACTTTTGCTGAGCGCAGTAGGAAAAGTATGCAAGTTATCGAATGATACAACTAGACAACCGATATGAATATTGAGTCTATGACTTCAATGTTATATTTTTCTGTACTGTGGGAATTTGTCTATATCATGGACTTTTGCAATATGGTCCCAGTTCATGGATTACATATCTAATTATGTGGATCTGATTTGACAGAAATGGGTTCAATCACATGGATTCAGGCCAGGTCAGGCACTAATGTTATGGAAGCGTCTTTATGGGAATGACATTTGGGCACATTGTATTGATGAACTGGAAGGTTGATTTCTGGATTCTGTCTTCTTCTCTATCCCTTGTTTTGTCTACATTTTTTGAAGCTAATGTATTTATGCTTCTCTGAAAATTAAGAAACCCTTTATATATATTTCTTTGATAAGATTTAGTTTTTAAATTTAATTTATGTAGGTTTGAACAAAGATTTCAAGAAAATGTTGAGTGAACATGCTGAATTTAGGGCATTATTTATGAAAGACATTCTTACAGCATCTGATGGAACCAGAAAGGTGGACACAATCTTTCCTAGTTGTCACGGTGCTACTGATTCGCTTTGGTTATTATCTTGTTTAGAACTAATTGGAAATCATATATGCATGTAGCTAGACAAAGTCCTCTATGCATATATGGGATTTTTGTCATATACTTGTGATTCTTAAGAATCTTCTCATTGATTTTGAACTAACAGGATTTTGCAGATTTTATTCACTTTGGAAGATGGACTGGTAATTGAAACAGTAGTAATACCTTGCAACAGAGACCGGACTACTGTTTGTGTTTCAAGTCAAGTGGGCTGTGCCATGAACTGTCAGTTTTGCTACACCGGCAGGCAAGCTTTCATCCTCTTCATTTGATATTATATCAGTTAATAGTAATGTAACTAATTGGATTTTCATGATGTGCTAATCCATTTTGCAGGATGGGTCTAAGAAGAAATTTGACTGCGGGTGAGATAGTAGAGCAGGCTGTGTTTGCACGACGGCTGCTCTCTGCTGAAGTTGGCTCCATTACAAATGTTGTGTTCATGGTAGGTCTACATTTTAAAGATTTTGAATTTCCTTAAACTTTTCCCCTAGTATGGAAAGATTTCCACTATGGGTTATTTTGATTTTGGAAACTGCTGGTTTCTACTGATGGATTCCATTAGCTTAATAGGCACTGTGCATTTTGCATCTAATCTATTACACCTGCTAGTTTATATTCGGCGAAGGGGCTCCATTTCACATTCTTCTTATGCTTTATGGGCTTGATGAGGATCTAGTGCCGGCACTAATATGAAGTTCATAAAATGCAGAGATTTGTTTGACTTGTGAAAGTCATTTGAAAACTGGAGTTTTTTTCCTGCAGAGATTCTTATCCCTGGAGATTCTTTCCTCCCATCCATACTAGATGAGGAACCATGCCCTAATCTTGTTCAACTTAAGTATATAAGTTGAAATTAGATTATTGAATATCTTCTATTGCTTTCTAAACAAGGGTGGCTAGCTGAATTTGTAGGGGATGGGAGAACCGCTTCACAACATTGAAAATGTCATGAAAGCTGCAGACATAATGGTGCATGAGCAAGGCCTCCATTTCAGTCCTCGCAAGGTTACTGTTTCAACCAGTGGACTCGTCCCCCAGCTGCGACGTTTCCTAAATGAATGTAATTGTGCTTTAGCAGTTAGCTTGAATGCAACAACTAATGAGGTACGTCTCTTCTAGCCGTATTTTAGTTTGCACATGGGGAGAAATAGGGAGTGAGAAGATTGATCGTCCTTCAAAAAATATTGCAGGTTAGAAACTGGATCATGCCAATTAACCGGAAGTATAACCTAGGCTTGCTTCTTGAGACCCTTCGGCAGGAACTTCGTTTCAAACGTAATTACAAAGTTCTGTTTGAATATGTAATGCTTGCAGGCATTAATGACAGGTCAGATAAGCAGCCTTTCACATTTATGCATTTCCATTGCCAATACTTTAGTTCTCATTTATATTTCTTGCTACCCTTTTTTGTGTAGCATTTAAGTCAATTTCATTTATTCTTATCATGTGATTCAAAATTGCTGAATACTTAAGAGAATAAAAGCTTATAACAAACAACCTGACAAAAAACATGACAAAATAATCTCTCTTTTTTTCATTGGAAGCATTACACAAATGAGCATTTTGCTCTATGAAGTATTTGAACCCATTAGCTTACAAGAAATGCTTACATAACCTAAGAAAAAAAAAAATTTGATCTCAAGATTTGTATTTGATCTATTTTAAATGCATTAATTTTTCAGGAGGGATCAAGTGGGCCGTAAGTCATCTGTTCAAAGTCTCTTTTTTTCTTTTATTTATTTATTTTTGATAGCATGCTAGCTTGTCTATATTTCTAGATTAAAATATGTAAGTAGTTTGTTAAAATGATTTATCTTCATTTATTTCCCTCATGCTGGGGAAAAAAGACTTAGGTCTTGTTTGGCATGATCTAAAAAAGTTAAAAAGTCACTATTCTATTTAAGTCACATCATCTTATTTAAGTCACATCACCTTATTTAGATCATCCCAAACCACCCCTTAATGTTAGAATTTCAACGAGTGAGTTTATTTTTATTTAACTCAGCTTCGTACTTGGATGCCCTATACTTAACATTGAAACTGTTAGAAACATTTTTAGTTGGCAGAGAGTTCGTTTATTTGTTAAAAATTGTGGTTACTTGAATTTGATTGGATTGCCTATTTAATGCCTTTCTTGGCATCCTTTACTTTTGTAATGGCATGAAATTCTCTTGAATTGCTCAACTCTTAGAGTGCCTACTATTTAATTTTCTTATAGAATTACATGGCCTATCTTTCAATGTTCTATTTATTTTTGTAAAGATTATCTAGAGAGAATATATCTACATTTTTCAAGCAAAAAATAAAATCCATCTACATTTTACTGTCTGAAATTATAGGCACTGTATTAGTATCTCAGTATTTGGTTCTGTCTGCAGTACGGAGGATGCAAAGCGTCTGATTGAACTTGTAAAGGGCATTCCTTGCAAGATCAACCTTATCTCATTCAACCCTCATTCTGGGTCTCAGTTTAGATCAACCCCTGATGCGAAGATGATCGAGTTTCGGAATATTCTGGCAGAGGCCGGGTGCATTGTTTTCTTGCGACCCAGTAGAGGTGATGATCAGATGGCTGCCTGTGGTCAGCTTGGCAAGCCCGGTGAGACCCAGGCTCCTTTGTTCCGCATTCCAGCTCAATTCCAAACATTATTGGAGACATAAGCGTCCTGACTGGTGCAAAATTTCTTACTTTTTCGAATGAGATGATACAAAAGCGTCGTGAAATTTACCGGCTGGACCGGTTAGATTGGCACTGCCCTAGAGTCTGTTCAGGCGGTGCATCATTTTTGGGGAATGTTAAAGTTATCAGTTCTGGGTAATCTTATTTTCTGCTATTATAATTTTATGTACACAGTATTGTGTTATGTAACCCATTGTTACACATCTAATCCGATTGCTGCCTTCTGGAGATTTGTCAAACCTATGTCTCGAAACATGGCATTTTGTGATGCTATTGGATCTGAAAGGCCGAGATAGTGGTATTTTGATGTTACATAACTTGCGGCGTTTATTTAACAACCCTCATTTCTCATATTTGTCAGGGTTTGTCAAACCCATGTCTTGAAACACGGCATTTTGTGATGCTATTGGATCCAAAAGGCCGAGATAGTGGTATTTTGAGGTTACATGACTTGTGTTATTTATTGGGTAAATTATTAATGGGTTCTAATAGTTAGATTTAATTCTCATCAAGCCCTATTGAAAAATAAGTTTTAATACAATCGTCATTAAAAATAATTTTTTTTGACAATTTTTTTCATATGTCGTTAAAAATTGACAATTAGTAACTTTTTTTGTAACAGTTTTTGTAAATTGTCGTTAAAATTTACCATCAATGACTTTTTGTGACGAATTTTCCGTGACGCTTTTTGTGACGAATTTTTTAAACCGTTGTTAAAACTTATAATTAGTAACATTTTTTGTAACAAAATTTTCTAACTGTCGCTGAAAATTACTAATTAGTAATATTTTTTTATAGTGTATAATGAAAAATGTCATTAATTATTATAAGACCTATTGAATAACAAGTTCCTTTAGTAAGACCTACATGTAAGTTGCCTTTATTTATTTAACCAGCATTGCTCATATTTGTCACGGTTTGTCAAGTCCATGTCTGGAAACATGGCATTTTGTGACACCATTCACTGTATTTGGTTTGAGTTTTTTGGATTAAGTTTTTTAAAAGTTGAGTTTTTTTATTTTCGTATTTTTTTGTTTTTAGTGAATATTTTTAAAATTTTAAATATTTTTTTTACTTTTTTAGATGCACCTTACTTAGACGTGTCTAAAAAATAAAAAAATTGTGAAAAAATATTTTAAAAAATTAAGAAATACATAAAAATACAAAAAAATGTACTAAATTCTTATATTTTTTTGTATTTTTAGTATTTAGTGAATTTTTAAAAGATTTTTTTTACAATTTTTTTACTTTTTAGGTGTATTTATGTTAGGTGTGTCTAAAAAGTAAAAAATTTATATAAAATATTAAAAAAATTCAATGAAAATAAAAAAATATGAAAAATAAAAGTGTAGAATTTTTTAAAAATTATTTTTGAAAAATGAAAACCAAACAAAGTGATTGGATCCGAAAGGTCGAGATAGAGTATTTTGAGGTTAAATGACTTGTGTTGTTTATTTGTCAGGGTTTGATACCCGCTGACCGGCCCTTCCCCGCCGTGTTTGGTGCATTATCCTACTTGTATGCATTGAAAATGCTAATAATGTGATGACGAAAGCCTTGTTTATTCCCATTGTTGTTCACAACACGGGTTTGCTTAGGTTGAATCATTCATATGTTGTGTATTTTTATCAAAGTATATTATATGTGTTAAAAATAGTAACGGTATATTTTATCTATTATACATATCATATTATATTTATTATCATATTTAAGATTATCATACCTAGATTTCTCTTATCTTATATAAAGGAGTCTTGTATCCATTGTTACATAATTATTCAACACAATATTCGATATAATCTATTAAATATTGTAACATGGTATCAGAGTTAGGTTAAATACCTAGTAATTTTGCTTCACCGCCAAGCGGCAGCCTTGCTTTGACCGCCCGTCGAATCTCAACACATTCTACTGTCATATTTTCTTTTGGTTTTACTTCGTGGTGATCTCTTCCTCTATCCACTAGTTTATTTTTATCCCAAATATGTCTATCATATATATATATTTTTTTACTCTTAATCCATTTTTTTGTGTGTTTCTGTTCCACTTTGTTTTCCCCTCTATTTCAACTTCAAATAGATTTCTATCTTCAAACCTTTTTGAGTTTGAGAGGATATTATACCTATATCATTGTGAGTACGGTGATATACCATGTGAACCACTTAAACCGCCTCATCTGTCGCACAATCCAAGTCACCCCCCTCTGGCGCACTTTTGGTGCACCCTTGGTGCACCACCTAAGCCGCCCATTCTGGCACATAACTAAAGCTACCCCCTCTAGCTCACCACCAAAGCCGCCTCCTAACACACTTTTAAATAAGTCGTTCCTTGGTGCATTCAATCATTTGTTGCCATCATTATCCAACACCACATCATAAGTTACGTGTAAACCACGTTTGTTGGTTCAACATCCAATTCTCTATATCGATCTAGCATGACCTCTTTAAACTGTCCCGACATTGATTCCGGTTAGTTTCTACAACGATCCGACATGACCCCTTAAACTGTCCCGACATTGATTTTGATCAGTTCGTACAACGGTCCGGCATGACTGCGTAAACTGTCCTAACATTGATTCCGATCAGTTTCTACAACAATCCAGCATGACCTTAAACTGTCCCAAGATTAGTTTTTACCAGTTTCTACAACGGTCCAGCAACTGTCTCCCGGCATTAGCTCTAGCCTCTTATCTATCTCAAGCACCCTTGTGCACCCATCTAGACTTTTTAATCTATTTGTCTCGGATCTATCCATATTTTATTTTATTTTATTTTTCAGTTTTATTTCATATTTTTTTGGATACTTACATGTAGGCCCTAATAAGTGAACTTATTATTTAATAGGTCCTATGGGAAAAAAATTGTCACTAAAAAAATATTACTAATTATAAGTTTTAACAACAATTTATAAAAATCATGACAAAAAAAGTCACTAATTATCAATATTTAGCAGCATATATAAAAAATTGTTACAAAAAAATTATTTTTAACGGCAGTTTTATCAAGACTTATTTTCAATAGGACTTGATGGGAATTAAGTCTAACTATTAGGACCTATTGGTAGTTTACCCAATTAATTTCTCTCTCCAAACTCAAGTAGGTATCCCTATTTAAGTTTGAAGGGTGTTAAATATAGTAACTATATATTCGGTCTATCATACCTATCACATTATTTTAATTATCATATTTAAGATTACATACTTAAGTTTTTCTCCTTCTATATAAAGAAATTTTTATATATTATTACATAATTATTCAATATAATATTCAATATAATACAAATCTCTCTCCCTCTTAGATAGTGTAAGAATATGTGTGTACTGTGTGTAGATTAAACTTGAGTCTTGAGATGTATTTGGATGGTGTGAATATTCGTTATTGTGATGCACATTATTCCCATAAGATCCAAGGGCAATAGCTGAATGCTTCAGAGACAAGTAATTTTGGGACATTGTTAGATTGGATTGGCGTGGAGTGCGTGGAGCGACATTGGTCACGCGTTTTCCAACTTTATCATTTACCCAAAAGGAGCAATGCTACATTTACTATTTAGGTTTAATCATTTATATTTATTATTTAATATGTCAATGTCAATGTCAAATTACATGATAAATATAAAAAGTAAAAGTAAATGGTCAATTTTGTTTAAAAAAAAAAAAGAAAAAGTATATTATAATTTCATCTCATCATCAAATTTTAATTTTATCATCATTACCAATCTTATAAACCCTAACCCTATATCTTCATCCATCTTCATCAATTCTAACCTTATAAATACAGTCTTAATCCCATCCTTACCATTTCCAACCCTTCTTATTTATCATGTGGCTAGAGGAGTTGGGAAGAGGCAGGGAGGGGCAAAGGAAGATGGAGATGGAAATTCGGGTGGTGAGGAGATGGGGGATAAGCTGTTAGTGGTTGCAATGATGGCTGCCAGAGGTGGAGATATAAGGGCTAAAGTTAGGATTTTAATGATGAAATAAAGAGTGACCACACCATAATTTGGTGTGACTCACTTTACTCAATCTTCTCTCTCTTGAATTGTAAAGAACCTCCTCGCAAAAATATTGAAGCTATCTGTTAGTTAGTTAATGGTTTGAATTCAAACATCAATAGACACAACTTTTAGTGAACCATGGTGACCGTTGTTGTATGAAACAAATTCAAATATTATACCTATTCCCAAAGGTCACTTATTTGTATATAAATACTTAACAGCAGATTTAGAATAATTGATATATGAACTAGAAGATTTCCATTTTCTAACTTTCAGATAATCGATATTCCACTGAAAGATAATCTTAACAATGGCAATTGATCGAAAAACCCATAAGGGTGTTTATCACACGAGAATATCGATTATCCGAAAATTAGAAAGTGGAAATCTTCTAGTTCATATATCAATTATTCCAAACCTGCTGTCAAGTATTTAAGATTATCTGTTGGTGGTATTTCGATCAATTGCCATTGTTAAGATTATCTTTCAGTGGTATTAAAGCAAGGTTATACATTATCGCAGATGTCGAATTTTAGTCCGGAAGAACAAAAATTTTCCGAACTCTTTTTACCAAAAATTCAGAAAATCATTGATCGTCAATCTTCGGCATTGGTTAATTCGGTTTGTTTATTTAATCATCACCAACATGTTGTATTTCTAGAAAACTATCTGAAGAAAATAACTGTTGGTGGTGCTATTGTTCCAAACCTTGCCGAAAGTGAGTCCGAATTACACCGTTGGAAGCAATTTTATAAAATATTTTTCAGTTCAAATTGCGTCTCCAAATTGGCGCCATCTTGTTCTTCACCAATTTTCATCATAACGGAGAAATTCGTTGTGAAAAACGGAGAAAATTTGATCCACAAGATCCAACTTGTAGTGTGTGGTCTTCTACCCCCACCGGAGCAGACAACCGGAGCAAAAGAGCCGTTATTTATTCTAATTCAAAAGATCAATCAATTGGGCTCAAACTAAAAGGGCCAAAAAATTAGGAAAACAGCAAGGAAGTCTGTTCCCTTGGGCCTAAAAATTAAAAAGAAATTTTTTGGGCCAATCCAGCCATCGGCCCAAGTCAACCAGGCGGAGCCCAGCCGCCCAAAGCCTCAAGGACCGCCCAGCCCAACGACTTAGCCCAGCAGTCCAACGCTGCAGCCCAGCGCGCATCCAGATCCGCGCGTCGACCCAGCGCACCGCGCTCGGATCCGCGTCTGTCTGCTCCACACGACCGGCGTGATGATCCGCGCACTAACTCGTGCGTTGACCAGTGGTTCAAGCCAGTTCAAGCCGGTTCAGCCAAGACATTGAACTGGCAGATTGGTTC